AGCTTTACATTCATCCTATATCACTTCATTGCAATGATAACAATCCCCTCCATGCATCATCAAAGAACCAAAGGTATACCCTGTAAGCCTGCCCCCCAGCCGTCAGCACACAGCTTCTCTCCCTCCCTGAGTCCAGAGTCCCCAGCAGCTCCATCTCTCCACATCATCATCTCTGCCTCCATTTCTGGCATCACTACTTCTCTGGGTAGGGTCTCGCACTTCGTTCTTCTCACTTGATGATAATTTAATTAATTTTTGAATGGTAATATACAGAATTTTGTATTTGATATAATTCAAAAGTGTTTATAGTGAAACATAAGTCTCTCTCCCACCTTCCTCTTCTCTCAATTCCCATCTACAAAGGCAACAACTGTCATTGGTGTTTTGTGTGTCATTTTAGGAAAATTTTATATGCATAAAATAAAAACATACACACGTATCTCTTTCTTTACCCCCTTTGCACACAAATGATGGATTTTCATTTTATTCTGCACTTTTCTTTCATCAAATAATACATTTATCTTGGACATTTTGTCATCATTATTGCATAGGTTTCTTATCTTTAGTGATGATACCTCAGGATAAAGGAAAAGACTGAAAAATCTGATTATACTGAAAATAAGAGTTCCTGGTGTGGCACTATGGGTTAATGCACCAGACTGCAAAGCCGTTTGAACTGCAAGGTTGGTGGTTCAAGCTCACCAGCTGCTCCTCGGAAGCCTTCTCCAGGGTCGCTATGGGTCGGAATCAACTCAATGGCACTTAACAACAACAAATTCGCCAAAAGACAGAGTGAAAAGACAAACCACAAACTAGAAAAGGGTTTTGTTCTCATATATAACTAACAACTGAGAGATGGTCAGAATACTTAAGGAATTTCCACAAATTAATAAGAAAAATACAGTCTAATAGAAAAATAGATAAAAGACATCAAAAATCAAATCACAGACTAAGAAGTCTTGATGAGCAAATGAAAACATGCTCAATTTCATTAATAATAAAATGAAAATTATGACCACAGGAAGTTATTATTTCACACCCACTAAATTAAGTCCTGATGTGGCACTGTAGGATAAGCACTAGACTCACTATACTATTAACCACAAGGTTGGCAGTTCAAACCCATCAGCAACTCCTTGGAAACCCTATAGAGGGTAACTATAAGTCGGAACTGACTTGATCGTACTTAACAACAACAAAAATTGACAAAAATTTAAGAGTCTGATAACCAAGTAATGGCAAGAAGTTAGAGTGAGACTGTAAAAACCAAGGGAACAATTAACACCAAACTCAGAATAGCTGCCT